GGTATAAAATTTTTCGATAAATTTATTCTGTCGAAAATTCGTCCTCCCTTCTTCTTTGGCCAAATGTCCCCAGATATTAAGACACAGCAATTAAAATCCAAACTTCAAATCCCCCTCCATATTTGCTTGTCCCAGAGGTACTAACCCCCACGGACGCCTGGTGAATTTTTGAAACTAGCTATACGTCGGTACTCTGACACATTATTGCTCCGCCCCGGTCATGATTCATTCGTATATATCTATATGTCTGAATATTTTGTGGCTCCCTCTAAGCTGTTTCATCATTCTTAATATCACATATAATTTGGTCTCTCTTTTCTCCTTTTTTCCTTTCCTTGGCTCTTATTCAATAAAATTGCTTTGGCATGATCCCTAATGCGTGATTCGTGGAACTTCCTATATGATTCACCTAGTAATTATTTGTAGCTGTCCGAATTTTAAAGTCACGGTAGTTGCTGGACGCTTAATTAATTCTCTTACAGCTAAAACAATTTTAGATATATAAAGATGGGCGGGAATTTATTGTTTACAAAGACATTCCTATTTCCTCACTTTCTTCAAATTATCACAGAAAAAGTGAAAACAGAAAGATAAAAAATTTCTTCTACGTGAAACGACTCTACATAATTGCAGTCACTTGGTCCCCAATCAAGATAAAGAGGATATCCAAATGAAATAACACAATTCCTATTGCAACCTTCTCCTGAGCATAAGTCCAGAGCATAGGTACATTATTCCTTACTTTTCCTAATATATAAGTTGCATAATTCCCATCTCAATTATGACAAATTTAAAAAACAAACGTAATAATTTCGCGTAGTTTACATGAATAGATATACCTTATCTTTACGAAACTAGAAGAATTCCTTAGAAGAGGAGTCAAAATCACAAAAGAGAAAAAATTGTACTCTAAATGGGTATATGCCCTTATTTATACAATGACAGATTCATAGTATGGGACACACTACGTCTCCTTCCCAGCGATAATTATATCCTCTCCCTCATTCAGGCCTTAGTACTAAATACAAACAGAGACGAGATCATGTCGACATGGATTATACCTCAGGAATCCTTTATTTCCATATAATTCCATTTGCTGGAGTATTATGATATCCATTTTAGGAAACATTAAGATTGGGAGTTGATATTCGGATGCTACCAGGGGGAAGGAACTTCTTTACACATTCCTTTTTTGAGGTGATCTTAATTTCATTTCAAGGTTTCTATTTCGGCCTCGTTGGGAGAACATTGTTGTTTCCAACATCGCCTTTGGTAGTCTGCCCGAAGTTGTTGCCCGTTCGTCCTTTTTATAATATACACTATGTCCTATCAGTAAATTCCTAACCATTATATGATCTTTCCCCGCAATGTTATATCCTTCTGCTTATCTACTCCTTAGCAGGTCACGACAGTTGTTTCTATATCATCCCTCATGATATGCTATATAAGAAAGAAAATATCATATAAACCACAACATTCTGTACCCAGCTATTTAAACAGTTATTCTTTTGGCACGTGGGGAGTAAATGTATATTATGATAATGTATCCAAACATAAATAGTCCCCTGTTTATTCAGAGGATCCCTACAACAACTCACGTATACTTTCGAAAATTGGGGTTAATTAATCACGTGGAATAACACACAATATTCTTATAAAACTATTTGACTCATTATTAAGGGAGGGAATTTTTCTATTATCGCTTATATTCCCATATAGCATTACACTTATAACTAATATAAAAACCATATCACTGCCAAAATGATCATGTATTTATTCACTTGATCTCATTCTTTAGAAGAACCTCATAACTCCATGGGGGTGTAAGACTCCTTTATAGGACATGTCTTTAGGCCAATAGAGGAATGTATGCATTGTATAGGCTTATACTCCCTTATGCATAAGATGGGTTATGAAGATCACTTAACATTCTACATGATCCTGTGGGGAACAAGGAGACACCCGTTATAGCATCTTTTATAGTCTTAGATACAGACAAAAATGAAGTTACTGTATGACTTATTATACTTCAGGAACTCAGCACAGATTCAAGATATTATCTGTCCTTATCCCTTTGTTTATATGTTAGA